TCTGTTCCCAAACTCATCTTACCATGTTGGCCTCCTTCCCCACCTTTGTTCATACTGTATCCTGGTTTCTTTATTCTCATCTCTTCCATAGAATCTTCCCCATCCACCTCCTAGAGAAATGTTCTCTCCTGTACTCCTCATTACCACATCATTACTTGGCCTGTGGCTGCCAATGTGTTCTGTCTTCCAAGGAAAATGAAGCTCCTCCAAACCAAAGACTGTGTCTTGTTTCTTTGCATCTTCACCTCATAGGACATAGGGAGGACATCCATTTAACAGAAGAAAATCTTGTTAAAGCTGTTCTCTGTGAGGCAGTGAATCGCAAATACTAATCACAAGTACTCAGGCCCAAGATCCCTTATCCAGCTGAAAAAGAATTATCCAGGTCACTTCTTTTCATTTTTGATTTTTGATGTTTTTGAGACAGAGTCTCACTCTGTCACCCAGGCTGGAGTGCATGGCTCACTGCAACCTCAACCTCCCTGGTTAAAGCAATCCTCCCACCTCAGCCTCCCAAGAAGTTGGGACCACAGACGCACACCACCATGCCCGGCTAACTTTTTTATATGTAGGGACAAAGTCTTGCTATGTTGCCCAAACTGGTATTGAACTCCTGGGCTCAAGCAGTCCTCCCACCTCAACCTCCCAAAGTGTGGGATTACAGGCCTACATTTTTTAAAAAACAGAGATTGTTAGACTCTAATCCCTGAAGTTTCCAATTCAGTCAAACTGGGCTGGGGTCCTAGAACTGATATTTTGCACAGCTCCTCAATGATTCTGAGACAGAGCCAGGCCTCTGACCCTCCACAGTAGGATGCTGTTTACTTGCTTTTGCTCACTCTGAATGCTAGTCTTGACTGTGTTATTCAGAAAGGGCAGACTCTCTGAAGCTTATTTGTCTTTCAGTCTGTCATTAAGTATTCTTTAACTTGGGATTTCTGAAAGACAAAAAGAGGAACTGGTTGTAAATGACACTGTAGAATAACAACTGAGTGTAGTTATAGTACTTGTGGACTTCTGGTAAATATTTACAATAACTTAGCAGCAGTACTTAGTGGAATTTTGATAATAATTTCTAATTCTTCTTTACTAAGAAACTCATGAACATTTGTCTTTGATGTGCACTGTGAGTTCTGGTCAGGTCCAAATTCCAGGCACCATAATCATGTTCTGACTAT